TCATAGCTTCATTAGATTAGTTTTATTGATTGATTGATTTAAATATGTCTTTATTGATTTCAGAGAGAGGAAGGGCGAGGGAGAGAGAGAGAGAAACATCAATGATGAGAGAGACTCACTGATCGGCTGCCTCCTTTACGCCCCCCCCCCGGCCCCCCACTTTGGATGGAGCCAGAAGCCCGGGCATGTGTCCTGACTGGAAATGGAACCGTGATCTCCTGGATCCTAGGTCGATGCTCATCTGCTGAGCCACGCCTGCTGGGCTAGATTAGTTTTATTTATTTATTTATTTTTAAAAATATATCTTTATTGATTTCAGAGAGAGGAAAGGAGAGGGAGGGAGAGAGAGAAACATCAATGATGAGAGAGTTATTGATCAAGCCCACACCCTGGGCATGTGCCTTGACCGGGAATTGAACCCTGATCGCCTGGATCCCAGGTTGACGCTCAACCGCTGAGCCATGCCCAGCTGGGCGTAGATTAGTTTTAAAATGGCTCTTTTGTATCTTTAATATACAGTTATTACCACATCCTTTCTTTTCATTAAATTGATCATTCGATTTATATGAAATTGCAGCTTTAAAGTAGAACCTCAACAAATCAGTCAAAACAAATGTTTCAAATTAATTGTTACATTTAAAAAATTCACTTTTTGTTGTTGGTGTATAATATTTTGTTCATATAATCAGTTGTTTCAGGGTTTTTGCTGATTTAGCTATTAACTTTAATCTTTTTAACTTTGGGAGATTGAACTAAATTGGACAGAACAGTGATTTTAGTGTAGCTGATTTGTCTTTAACTGTTACAATATTGCAAAATTTTGTGGCTGGATGACAGTAGCCAAAACAACAATGTCAATGAAAGTTCTTCAGAAAATATGAAATGTTATACAAGTGACAGCCTTTCCAAAAAGTTTATTGAGTATCTACTGACTGGCACTATTTTAGATGCTGAGGTTACAAAGATGAGTACAGACAGAAGCATTTCTAGCCCAGTCTGTTTTTATTTTAAAAAACAAGCTTATTGAGATATAATTTACATACCATAAAATTTACTCTAAAAGAGTACAACTCAGTGGTGTTTAGTATATTTACAGAGTTTTGCAACCATCACCACTATCTTAACTTTAGAAGACAAATGACAGTTTTAAATCAGCATTTTAAGTCTTTCCTTATTTTTGGTTATCTCAAAGCTTAATTTTCTTCTGCTTTCCCCAAGCACCCACATAAAAGTGAGATTGGATGGGGTCCACTCTCATGTGTAACTGTTCATCAATTAGGAAGCAGACAGTGTTAGTTTCCTTCTTTTAAAACATAGTGCTGAGTGATGTGGTGCTATGAGAAAGATGCAAAAGTCACAGATAGCTTAATAGCTGACAGTGTCATTTGAACAAATAAAATAGATTGTTCTGGAGGAATCATTTAACATTGCACAAATGCAGGACTAGGAAAGTATTCTAAACAACCACTAGGTTTGTAGAAATAACACACCCGGAGTTTATAATCAAGTTGTGCCATACCCACCTCCTCCCTCCCTCCTTCCCCCTCTCCTTCCCCTCTCCCCCCCATAAGTGTGTGTGTGTATTACACACACAAAGTAACTTGGTTTCAGAGCCATTTTGTGTTCTTAGTTTCCTTCCACAGATCAAGTAGGGGTTTTTTTTTGGTTTGTTTTTTAAAAGCATTAGTGCATCTTAGATTTTGTGAAAATTCTTTCAGTTAATCTCTGGGCTCCCTAAAGCCCAAAGTGGTTAAAAACCAAGCACTTCTTAATGGGGTTGCTGTAAACAAAGCTCAGAGTGAAACCCCTGTGTATTCGCTGCAGATTCCCAGGTGCCTCAAGTACAGAAATGAGCTCAGAAAAGTTTAACAGGTTTATTCAATAATCATCCTTTCAAAGGCTCATGCACTACTTGTGTGTTGCATTAGGACACGTGTCTGACATTTTTACTGTATTTGGTACTTCCTAGAAGAGGGTGAACCCTGATTTAGATCCTTCTCAGATGTTCAAGGCAGAAGAATTTTGTCAGGACAAACATAAGGTCACAGAGCTGTGTAAAGGATTGTCTATCACAAGACATCAAGCTATTTTATGTTCCTGGGATGTCTTAAGGAAAAGATTCCTCAAACTGAACGATGGAATATCTTGCAGGGGGTACCACTGGGTAAGTTTGTGGAGATCCCCACTGACCACAAAAAAAAAAAAAAAAA